CAGGCACAGCAGAATCATCTGAGCCAAATTTGGCGAGTGGGCTTTACTTTGGGCACTTCAGGGCTCATGGGTCTCTGTAAATCCTGTTCCTGTTCTGTCACGGTGGTGGCCTGCTTGGACCAGTTCAGTTTGAACTCCAGTTTATCCTGTTATGATATGTGCTTTGAAAGTTCATTTTAGGATTGCTTCCTATTCTTTCACGTGATCTGCTGCTGCACTCGCCAAGCAGCTGGTACTTAAACTGGATTCTCCATCTGAAAGCAACCGTTATCAATTTCTTCTCCATTTGGCTGCAGAGATGTTGTGTTCTGGTAACTTGTTTGCCCAAAGCTGTGCTTGACTGCCCTGGGCTTGCTGAGCATTTGTTAACACTCTCCGGACTTCAGTCCTAAGTCTCAATAATTTGGCTGCTGGTGCTTTCATGCTTCTCAATGTACATGAAAACTTCTATTGGTGTGAAATTCTTATTGCTAAGACCTTCACACGATTCATGGAAATGCTGATTCTCATTTCCTCATTATGTGGAGTCTTCATCCCCTTTTATATGTTCTCAGACATCCTCCCAGTCTGCATTCTTTAATCCAACCCTCTAGTATATTTTGCATCAGTTAAAGCTGTATTCACTTTATAAGGCTTTCTGATTCTGACAGTGGATATTGGGAATATCGAGATGGACAAAATCGTGTATTCAAATACTTCTGCTTTGAGCTCCTTACCTTCTTTTCCTTCAGGGCTAAATCCTCTCTGAAATTCAATAGGCAACTAAAATCTACTATATTTAAGTGTTTCCCAGCTGTGCCATAAGCTTAGCACAGCTAATTGGAGTGAAATTACATTTGGCAGGTTTTTTACTGACAGTGGCTCTGATTAAACATGCTAAGCTTTGTGAAATTTGTGTAGTAATGTTCCAGCATTCTGCAGTGGTGCCCGTTCCTTGACCCTGAACTCTGTTAACTTTGTTATTTTAGCAGTAACACTAGCTTTTGGTGGCAAGTTTTATCCATCTGCATTCTCTCAGTATCAAAGTACTAGGATACTCCCATTTGAATCTTATAACAAAGTGGGCACTTAACTGAAGCGACCTGATGAAGATAGGAATGAACAGTCTCTAGACTGCAATTAGGCTGCCTCGAACCATGACATAAATGCTAAAGGATATATTTCAGCATATGTAATGAATATATTTCTATTTACCTAGAAATAATAAATAACAGGATTTGGGTACCAAGGATATATTTTCCATGTTAGCTGTGCCGATTCATTTAATGCACTGTCTTGGCTCATTATTGCCATCTTGATGTGAATTTCTGCTATGATACGTTGATATTGCTGCAGGTTTCAGTCTGAAACATTTACATCAGCATTTCAATTTCAGCCCTTTTAGTAGTGTGGCCTTGCACGCATGGCTTGGAAATACAGCAGTGATTTTCCTTTCCCCTTGTCTTAGAAGATGGAAATGCTGCTTTTCAAGCAAGAGGAAAAATGCAGTTCAGGCTTTAAAAGTGCCATAACGATGTTCTGGAGCTTATGTCTATCAGTGCTACAAGTTCACATCTCTTTAGATGAGCAGCTGTCTTGACTGGAGAGGCTTTAGATATTGGCTGGTGTCTTGCTCTTTGTTGTTAAAAGCAAAATAATCTGAATCACATCCTTCAGGAAGGTAGTTTAATTCCAGTCTATGTTGAAAATATGTTTTATGTATGAACTTACAAAGCTGGGGTGCTCTGTGAGTACTGGTGGTAAATAATTGGTTATTGGTTTGTTGTTAACTATTGAGCATTCCTCATCTGGGAGAGGTAGGAGGCAGCCTGGGAAGCCAAGTGATTACTTCATGGTCTATAGTTGTGTTCAGTGGAAACTTCAGCTACTTGCAATTGCAAACAAGGGGTGAAAACCTAGATACATAAGATTAGTACTGCAAGCAGGAAAGCAAGTACAAGGGATGGAGCATCTGGGAAAGATCAAACCTGATAAGAATCTGTTCTGTAGGAGGCAGAGGGGCCACCTGAAGGTAGTTTCCTCCAACAAGAATGCATGGAATGGACTTTAGGTTCTTGTTTATAAATTGGAGCAACTAATTGTTCATCTTTGATGCTGAATTATTGATTTTGTCATGTCTGGAGCAAGGACACTGATCAGATATATGTCAGGTAGAAACAAGGTTGGCAGTTGATGATTTTGGAAGTTTCTGTGTTGACAGGCTGAGCTCAGTGTGATGAAACTGGAGCAAAACCCAGAACTCAGAAAAGGGCATGGTTCCTTTGTAGGTCTCATGCATAAATTCATTCTGATTTGGAAGGCAAAGCAGGCCACTCCTTTTTCAGTCATCCAGGCCACTGTAGATTATCTTTTGATGTACTTGGCCCTGGAAATTGTCCAGGGGATATATGCCATCTCCCCTTTGGCAGAATCATGGATTGTCTGTTTATTCTTTACCAGTGATCTCAGACGTTTTCACCAAGGCTATATAAGGAACAAGACTGAAGACTTTGCATAGGCCTTGCTGTAGGCTTTTATGTCATTTCAGAGAAAGCTATGTGAGGTATGTCGTCCCTGAATTGTGACTTGTCAGGTCTGATAATCAGTGTCCAGAAGCCTGAGCTGAGTGTATGGCCACCCACAACATGGCACAAACATGGTGCTGGTACTGCACACCAGAGGCCTGCCTTGATTAAGCTTGCAGTCTGCATCTGGCCCTCAGACCGTCCACTCTGGTGTGAAATGCAGCCTCTCAGTTAACTGAAGGTATCACCTGTTCTGAATTTAGCATAGAGCTGTGTTTGATCCATTGTCTTTCTTGCCATTCTCTTTCATGACTATAAAACTCAACAGATTATCAAATACTGCATCTCTTGGTGCTTTATACAGGCGGGACCATTTGTCTTTCTGATAGAGACATATGAGTTGCTCAAGACCAACGGAAAAGGTCACAATATGCCATGTTCCTTTCCCAGGACTTTGTAACCTGCACTTAGTCTTTTAGACAACTCAATTACATTAGACCAGGCCCTAAAGGTCATAGCAAGCTACCAAGAAACTCTGGGCTAGGCAGAGAGTGGGCTACCGTGGGATATGCGATGTGACGTTGGTCTTGTGGCCTGGCTGTGACTGTATCCGGCTGTTCCAGATGAGCCTTGCATCACTCTCTCCTAGTCCTGCATTCCAGGTCATGTGTCCTCCCTAACTGCCCCGTATCTCCGCATGTGTACGTCAGTGTGATGGCCTATGCTGCCCCTTTCCTGGTCCATACCTAGTGCTGCCACAGTGTCCTTAGCTTTGGTAGAATTTCTGGCTTGTGTGCATCAGTAAATTCTGTGTTGTCTGGTGAGTGACTTAAAAATGGGACTTGTAAGGTGAAAATAAAAATTAACAAGTAGCAAGAGAATCTGTTCTGGCAAGATGGGGGCAAAAGGGGCCTGGTGGCATCTTAATGTCATGGCTGGTGTGTATGAGTTCTCTGCTGCCATTTGCAGCACCAAGTGGTCACCTGGTACTCACAGGCAATATTCCCAGAAATATCAGGTTTGCTGTTCTGAGACCTCAGTTGCTGCATGGCAAGTGTAGCCAAGTGGTAGTTGAGGACAACAGCCTGTGCCAAGGTGAGAAAATGGCTGCATGGATATTGTAAATCCATGCTGGGAAAAGGATTTATTTCAAGAGGACTGATGTATTGCAGGTCTGTCCTGAATAAGTACTGATCCTTGCTTCTTTTCTGTGCTGTGGTCTGTGTGAGATGGTTTGCCATATGGGAGTAAGGGAGGTATTGTTGAGTATAAACTCAACAGCCCCATTCACTGTTGCACTCTCTGCTTGAAGAAAACACAGGTTTCAGAGCAGGGTGAGTAGCTAAAAAGGTGGGAAGACTTTCACCCTTCATACTAAAGGAACCATTTCATCTCCACTGCTGCTAAAAAGAATTCGTCTTTGTGGAAATGGATTGGGTGTTGTGTCTGGGAGAGAATCAGACTTTCCCTCAAACTCTCTCTGTATGTCTGCAAGATTTGTGACCTGGTTTGTACTTATCCAAATCTCTCTATTCCCTAGCACGTCTGCTAAGCTTGGCCATGCGTGTCTGCTTGGGCTTTGTTCATGGGGCTGAGATCTCTGCTGGCAGAAGTCCACTGATGGTTGAAGACTTGCTTTGGGAAAAACTTGGCTTGTTGTCTCTGAAGCCTCAAGTGGTGGCTGGGTGTGTCCTCCATGACATGACGGTGCTTTATGGGTTATTTGGCTCCAGTGTAATGGGGACTGTTTTCTGCATGGCTTTTACAAAGAATGGTTTGTTGTGCTGCACTCTGCAGCTCCTTCCGTCTCAGGCCGGAAAAATTTCTCTGTGGATGGAAAATCTAGGAAGCAGTGAAGAGCTTGTTCTACAGTCCCCCTGGAGAATCCAGAAGCCCTGCTTGGCCCACCTATAGAAGACTTAGGATGACGCTTGTTTCTCATCTTTGGGATGCAACTGGAACTGTTCTTTTTCTAGGAATTTCTTGATTTCCAGGGTATGAAATGTCCTGTGTTTTGTGTGCAGGACTAAGCTTCAGGTGAAGCAAGAAACAGGTGCACCAGACTATTAGAAGTTAGTCTGGGACTGTGCAGGGTGGAAGGAGTTACTGTGCCAGTAAGGGGCAGTTTTCCCTTTGCCTCCTTGGACACATGTGCATCAGGAACAGTGCCCAGGGACAACTTTGCAGGATTAATGCTCTGAGCGCTCTGCTCTGTACTTGCCTCCATCCCTATGTGCCCCAAGGCATCCTGGCTTCCAGTCCTTCCTCTCCTTTCAGGGCTGGAGCAGGGAATCGGTTCTTCATTCTCATTGTTGACTTGCCAGGCCCTTGGTGTTCAGGTTTCTGCTTCCACACTAGGCCCATGATAACTGCTGAAAATCAGATTTAGCTTTGCTGGAAGCTTGTTACGGTGGTTTCTCATTCTTTCTTTACCCCTTGCTGCCAAGACCACGTGAAGTCCTTAACTCCCCATAATCTCTGGCACTTTATCTGCAGGTGATGACAAATATGGAAGAAAAGTCATTTTGTTCAGTGCCTGCCGGATGCCCCCAAGTCATCAGTTAGATCACGTGAAACTGCTGGGGTAAGTAGAGTCTTAGTAGGATGCTGTTAATTTCTTAAATCTGACCTAATTCTCAGCTGTTGGATTCCTGGGGACAGATCTGCAGTGGCTTCTTTAGCTGGACATGTCCTCCCAAGTGCTTACCTCCATTGCTGGAGATGCAAATCCTCTGTTGTGGCACACCTGAAGAGTCCCAAAGGGAGGAAGAGCCTCTCTGTAGCAGAGCACAAAGTGAGTTCATCAGTTTTTTCTTCCCAGGTACCTGAAATTCACACTGGACCAGTATGTGGAGAGTGATTACACTCTGGTGTACCTGCACCATGGCCTGACCAGTGAGAACAAGCCATCCCTGAGCTGGTTGCGGGATGCCTACAGGGAATTTGATCGCAAGTGAGTAAAGCTGCAGCAATCAAGGGAGTTATGTGCTGTTCTCTAGCCTAACATAGAGGATCTTCCCCAGGCCCCCTGTGCAGCTTGCTGATCATAATTTACTGTCATTTATTCTCCTGCTTAAGGAGGTGGATTGTTGTTTAATGCAGACTGAATCATACGATAAACAGCTCCTTCTGTAGTTACATCCTTTAAGCCAACAGGCAAGCAGCAAACCCAGGACCTGGTGCAAGTGTGTCAGCCCCATGGTATAATTGTAGGTTCCTGGATAGACTGCTCACTGCTTTTATGTGAATCTTGGAACACAGGGTAGCATGTCCTTAGGCTGCTGAGTGGCCTGACACAGCTATGGAGCATGGAAGAGCAGAGGCCAGGTGTGCTGGGGCGTGGTGAGGCTCAGTGCAAAAAGGATGAAGCAACCAGGGTGCCTTAATTTATGTGGAAAGGTTAGTTCCTCTGCTTAAAGTACAGCTTGTCATTACTGGGCTTCTCTTGACAGGTACAAGAAGAACATCAAAGCCTTGTATATTGTGCACCCAACCATGTTCATCAAGACCTTGCTGATACTCTTCAAGCCTCTGATTAGGTAGGAAGGAAGCACTATTGGAGGCTTACCCACATGCTCACACTGCAGGGGAACAGTGGGGGCATTCTCAGAGGGGCACAAACTGAGCCCAGGCTGCCAAGCTTATCCTGGAGTCTCTCACCATTTTCTCTCTCCTCCCACTTCTGAGCTCAGAAGTACTCACACACCAGAAATACCTCTTTAGGAAACTACAGAGTTTGCAGCTCTGTGATACTCTTTTTCTCTCCAGCCAAGTAGAAGTAAAAAGTTGCAGGCTCTGCAACTCAATTTTTAAATTTATTGTGATACTGAAATCATAAACTATTAAATAATTGAGAGTAAAATCTTCTCAAGCCTACTGCTGAACACAGGAAAGAGAAATCCAGAATTTGAGGGAGCCTTCTGCTGCTGGGGCTTCTAATGTCCCTAGGAAAGTCTTTGCATCTCCTGGTAAAATAGATGGAGTGGCAGAACGATGTGGGTGACATTTCTGCTGCTCAGCCATACCTCCCCTTTGCCCCACTGATGTTTCTTGCAGCCCCCTGCTCTTCCTTTCTGTAAGAAGTCAGTTCTGTTACTGGATTTCCCAATTCCTCACATTATCTGCCTTTCTCTTGTTTTTCAGCTTTAAATTTGGACGGAAGATTTTTTATGTGAATTACCTTAGTGAGCTGGAGGAGTATGTGAAGCTGGAACAGTTGGGGATCCCAAGCCAAGTGCTGAAGTGAGAATACTGCCTCTCTCCCCCTTGCTTGGGGCTCTGTGAGAGGGGACTTTTTGTAGAGTGGCAAGGGAAGGAAGAGATGGTTCCACTCAGGCAGTGGTGGTTTTCCAGGGTGTGGTGACAAGTTGCCTTCAAGACTGCTTTCTCTCTGCCATCCTTCCTGTGTGTCCTTGGCCCCCAGTCCCCAGTTCTGTCTGAGATAAAAATCCTCCCCCAGTGAAGCACCGATGTTGTATCTCCCAGTCAGCCCCCTGGGGACTGTCTGCAAGATACTGACCTTAACACTGACCTGGAGCTCATGGTGTGCATCTGCTGTTGTCTGGGCACCTGCTTAGCTCATTTTGCACTGTTCAGCTTGTCTTTAGGGCTTCCCAAAGTTGCCATAATCTCAGTCCTACCAGATTGCTTCCCTGTCCCACACCCACATATGCATCTGTCTCATCACAAGCAGTGCTGTCCTGGCCTCCTGCCCACACTGTTACTCAGCTACTCCAACTCTTGATTACAGATAGATACTCCTTTTCTCCCTTCTCTTTTTTTGCAACCAGATGTTCTTGTGCTCCAGAACTGCCTATCGTGGTTTTGCATAGGTGTAATTGACTATACTACTCTGTTGCTGTTACCAGTGGGTGTGTGGTGCTGCGTTTTTGCACTTTCAAGGATGTGGAGTGGCTTTTTTACTAGTCTGTGTTTTGCTGCAGGTATGATGAATACCTGAGATCCCTGCAGAAACCTTTGCCCCAGAAGCCAATACCTCCACGCCCACCTCTGCCAAACCAGCAGTTTGGAGTCTCCCTACAGCAGTGAGTATTTCTGGACTTTGCTGCTTTTGCCCTGACTTGCTTGATATGATGTCACTGTATTTATTACTGAAAAACAGCAGAAAATGGCTGCAAAATTTCTTGCAGTTCAGACTTCCTATGAAACTTTAATCATTTTCCCAGAGAACCCTGTGTTTGTGTCCAGATTCTGACTAACTCAATTCAGTTCCACCCTCTTGATCTTGGGTTAGATTGTTTTTGCAATTTAAGGTCACTAAGGGAGGAGCAAAATAAGGGCCATAGGGTCAGCTTTATGGCACTAGAAACTTCCTTTTAAGCAAAAGAAGTCTGTAGGAGGCTGATAGGGGCCTCTCTAGGACTATGCTGCTTTGAGCAGTGCTGCAGATTTGTTAGTTGTTCTCCAAATCCTAAATTCTATTTTAAAAGCACCTCTATTCACCCTTGTAGTGAATCCCACTCCCCATTCCTGCACAGTGACAAAGGCAAACACAGACACTGGCTAGGGCTGGTGATACTGAATAAGTGTTGAAGGTATTTTTAACTCTGAGTGTGGTTTTGCCTCCCAGGGGAATGAGGAGGAGCCAGTACTGTGTAGCTAGACACATCCTCTGAGGCAGTCTGGGAACACATTCCCCAGCTTCAGTGCAACATTTCCAGATGGTGTTTGCCCTGGTGCCGTGGTGCCTGAGCTTGTCAGCAGCCTGGGAGGGGTGAACAGCTCTAAGCTATCCAGTGGTCTGGACAATCAAATGTGAGGGTGGCACCCTGGTGTCATGAGGTATTCCCTGACAGCCATTTTGCTGATATTTGATCTTCTGTCACAGGAATGTGGTGGCCAATTTTTTTTTTTCTCATGTGTCAGCTTCTTTCTGCAATTGCTTCTATGGGAAAGGAAAAAGGAAGCGTAACCCTTTTCACCTGATTCATAACTAGAATCCTTGCCTTCTGGGAAACCAGAAACTTTGCCCTGGCATATATAGACTGAGATTTTTACAGGAGATGGAAAAATGTTCCTGTGGTCTAGTAATGAGCTCACACTTGCTGCAGTGAATGATGGAACATGATGGGTGAAGAGGATAGAAGCCTGGAATAATGGCTGAACCAGGGATGGGGATAGCAAGATCATATGTAGTACAGCTTGATGCGGGCAAATTTAAGACTTGGAGGCTGCATGTAGGGCAGGAGCAGTGCTGTGTACCAGTCATGTATAACATGTTGTTTCTTGCTGCAGTCTCAGGGAGAAGAGCCCCGATCAGTCTCCTGTTCCTCTGGTGGTCAGAGACACCATTGCTCACTTGCTCGAGCATGGTAAGTGTTTGGGGAAGCTGCGATCCCGTTTCAGTGATCTCTGTTCTGTCCAAGCTCCCATCAGGACTGTGGTAAGATAAAGAAAAGCAGCAGTCCTAGAATAGGGTGTAAAGCCTGAACTAGGTGAGTTAGCTGTCAAGTGAGATTGTGGAGGGCTTAGGAGACCTTCTTCTTTCTGGAGGAGTCCATGTTCCCACTTTGATAAAACTAACCAAATGCTCCTTGTATCCTTTGTCTGATAGTGGAAGCAGAATGGTTGTGCTCTAAAAAAGAGACTTGTTCATATCTGTCTGAATACCCCACAGCATGGATTTATAATTGTTAAGGCCAGCATTTTTAGAGACTCTCGCATGGCTGATTTTTTTCTTCTCCATCTGCTGTCACTTCACAGCTCTTAATACAGAGGGGATTTTCCGGAGATCAGCAAATACACAGGTTGTCAGAGAGGTCCAGCAAAAATACAATATGGGTAAGTGCCCAAAGACATCAGAGCCACTCTCATTCCCTAGTTACTACTGTCCAACTGCAACTGTGTTGGAACTAGTCCGTCATGGATCCTCTCCTTCTCTGATAGGTCTGTAGATGAGGCCTCATCTTGGGGTATGACCTGAGTTGCAAGGGAGAAGTATCTGGCACTTCTGCTGTGGAAAGCATATTCCTTCCCACTCATATTCCACTTCCTACCCTTTTTTTTCCTGAAAGTTTCCCTGTTTCATGGGGTGTGATATACCATCTTACTCTGGTTATACTGAAGGGACTTAAGATGACCAGGATGAAACTTAGTCATGTTTCATTTGATGACTTTTAAAGATGTAGTGCTGGATTCAGCACTGCTTTGTATGTGATTTTGGAACATATTTTTCCACTCTGCTAGAAGATGTGATAGTTGAGGATTCTGTGTTCTTTAAAATACCCCTTCCTTAGTTTTGGGTTCTGACCGTCATGTCCTGTCCTTTGTCTGGAGGAGGTGCTGCTTTGGCCCGTGAGCACTGAGTCTCTGCTCTACTTTCTCAGGCGTGCCCGTAGATTTCCAGGAGTATGAAGATGTCCACCTCCCTGCTGTGATTCTCAAGACCTTCTTGAGGGAGCTACCTGAGCCCCTCCTCACTTTTGGCCTCTACAGCCATGTTGTCAGTTTCCAGAGTGAGTTGTGACGAGTGTGCTACTCCCTGAATGTTGCACTGGCTAAAGGCAAAAGATGTCTTAGTGGGGACATGCATGGGATACCTTGTGACTGCCAAGAGGGCCTTCATCAGGATGGGTGCTGAGGATTGTCCTGCCTCTCTTGATTTTTAGGTGTGGAGGAGGTGAAACGTGTGGATATTGTTCGCAAAACACTCCAGGATTTGCCAGAAGAAAACTACCAAGTGCTCCGTTTACTGACAGCCTTTCTGGTGCAGGTGAGCACTAGCCTAAGCACTTGGTTCTCATAACACTGAGAGGTGCAGGCAGGCCTTCAGCCTAAAAGGTGAAGGCATACAGCCTGTGTGGTCTATACCAGGAAGGCTGAAAGCTCCCCGGGGTGGAGGTAGGACTACAAAGTAGCTGAGTAGAAGAGGGGTCTCAGATCTGCTTTACAGTACTTCCTGCTGCCAAGGAAGCCACTGCAAGGCCATTCAAGCAAGATTATGAGTGGTGATCTGGACTTGTAGAGACATTATCTGACAGTCATCTTGGTCCTGTTGTTATGATATGGCCTGACCAGCTTTTCTCCTCTCATTATCTCTGTGAGTCTGTCAGCTCTGGATTTGAGGAGGGTAGAGGGCAGCTGCTGTGTTATTCTGTAGGATTCACAATGGTCTCTTTCCTTCCCACATAGGTCTCTGCTCACAGCGACAGAAACAAGATGACAAACACCAACCTGGCAGTTGTGTTTGGCCCAAATCTGCTCTGGGCCAAAGATGTGGCCATCACTCTAAAAGCCATCAATCCCATCAATACCTTTACCAAATTCCTGCTGGACCACCAGAAGGAGCTGTTTGAGGCTGCGGAGGCCTGAATCCAGGCCAGCCCACACCTGCACACTGTGCCCACCTTCCCCCTTCTTTGTCTTGGAGCTGTGACCAAGCTGTCTCCAGTACAAAGGGACCATTGATCTTCTGGGTGATGAGCAGAGTGAGGGCTGTGGAGATGATGGTGAAAGTGTGCAAGTAAGTGAGCAGGAGACCTGCAGTTCTGGATGGGCAGGGGAGCTGGTCTCCCAGCTGCTGAGACTGGAGTCCTAACCCACCTGTGCAGCTCCTCCAGGGCTCATCACCAGTCTTCTGCCCTATCAGATGACCTGCCTTCCTTTCCTCCCTCCCTTATGTGCCATTTTTCTGCCCTCCTGATCCCTTCCTCAGCACAGATCTTTTTGTTCAAGCTCCCAGTAGCCCCAGCTCACCCCTCCTTGCCTCCGCTGGGCTGTTTGGGCTAGGGTGGACTTGCTGGTTTTTGTGGTGGAGACATTCTTACTGTGAGTGCCGTTTCTCAGCACTGAACATGCATCCTGCCTTTCCCCAGGGGCACCTAAAGCAGGGAAAGGAGCAGCAGCCCTTGTGCTTCAGGTAGCAGCATGTCCTGCATTTGCAAACACGACTCTAGATCCCCTGCTTCTGGCAGGCAGGTGAAGGACAGGCTCACGGCAGTGGGCTATTACCTGTCAGACTCCAAAACAATGAAGGTGAGTTTAGCCTAAAGCCCAGCCCCTTTGGGGTCACCTACTCCAGATACTATTCAGTATTTGCTGGACTGTAGTGGGTGACTTGCCTCCTGTAGTTATCTAGCTCAGGTGTGTTTGTCCCTCCAGCAGCACTTCCAGCCTGGCTGGGAAGGCTCATGCCAGGCCTGACTGTGCATGCAGGCCAGCTGTGACCCTTTGACAGCTGGTGAGTCTGAATGGCAGGAGTGAGTGCCTTGGTGGCACTGAGCTGCTGAACACCATGAGGATCAGAATCTGGCCTGGCTGCAGCACAGGGCCTCCTCTTCTGGCATATGTATCTGTGCGGACTGGCACAGATCGCCTTGACTAGTTAGTTGTCTTTTTGAGCACAACTTTCCTCAGCACACTGTAACAGAGCATGGCCTTGAGGGAAGGTCTGGGGACTGGGGCTAACCCTCACCATGGAGTGCACAGGGCCTGGATTACAAATTTCTGCCCAGGTGCTGAGTACTCATGTGCCAAAGCTGTGAGGTAACAGCTATTCCATGCCAAGGGCCTTTGCCGTGTCTCCTCTGGGGTTCACACCTTCCACCCTGCCACCTGGTCAGATGCATTCTGTATGCCCTGGGCACAGCTGGAGAGACTGTGTTCTCTGCAAGGCAGGCTCAGAGTGGGGCGGTCCTGGCACCTCCCTGGAGCAACTGCAATACTGTTACAGCATCTCTTTTGGCTTTGGGTTGCCTCATTCCCATTACCTGAACTGAAAGAGATCCTTCTCCTCAGCCTGGGCCTGTCAGGGTTTTAGGAGGGAGCTTCTAGCCTTACTTCACTGGTGTGATTTATCTTTGTATCTTGTGCCCTGTGTGCCTGGGCCAGACCTCCCTGCTGCATCTGGCCTCAGGGACAAATCTTTTGGACCAAGCAGAACTGTTTTTTTAAAAGCTACTGGATGCTAAATAGAATTTGCTTTTTCATAATATTTTAACCTGCCTTTAAACACCGACCAAGGGTCGGTGCCCTGGTGTAATCAAAGTAAGTGGCATCTGCTGCAGGAATTAAGGAGACTGCTTTTTGCTAAACTCTGGAATGGGGATGGGTGCAAACATAGGCAGCTCTGCAGGGCAGCTAGGTCCAGCCAGCTGGCTTGGAGGAGGCACACCCACACGTGGGTGGGAACAGCGAACAAGAAAGTGAGCATTACTAAGGCTGGAGCAAGAGATGTTGTAAGATAGGACTGGATCTGATCCTTTCTAGATACTGGTAGACTTTGCCCTATGGAGGCTACCAGGCTGCTGACTTCTTCATCTCCTTCTTCCAAGAGTAGGAGCCTTCCTTGTTTGGCCAGGATATGAATTCTTTCATCCTGAACAATTCACAGCAGTAACTAAATACATGTTTTTTGAGGGAGAAATAATCTGCTCCTAATTCATCTGTAATCTCTTCTAGAATGAGTTAGCAGGGCAGATGGGCTGTGGAGGAGTAATCTGGGGTGGACTAGTGTGGAGAGAGGTGTACTTGCCCCAGTGTTTAAGGGGCAAGGCTATGGAGGCTGATGGAGTGCAGTGCAGCCCCTCTTTCCCTGCAGGTGCCCTGCTCTGTGGAGGCTTTGGTAGGGGGAGAAGGAGACTTGGTGCTCTGATTGTATCTGCAGCTGACACTGGCTTCTCCTTCATCTCCCTAGAGGAAAGGCCCAAGCTCGGCAACCTGGAATCCAAGTGCCTGCGTGCATGAGGCCTGGCCCTACGCACTCTCTGGGGAAGGTGGCATGTTCTGGCCTTGCAGAGCAGCAAGGACTGTTCCCTGCCCAGTAGCCGGAGGAGCAGAGCTGGAGTAGCTCCTCTCCAGGGGGAAAGTGGGGAATACTGCAAGTGTCTGAGTTCTGGCTGGAGTTTGATGGTTTATTTTAGGGGTTTTTTTTTGGGATTTAGATTTTGGTTTGTTTTTTTTTTTTTTAGTGAATTCTTGAAATGATGTTTCCTTTTTTAGCAAAATAGAGGCTGGTTCATCCCCTGCAGGCAGGGATAAAAGCCTGCTCCAGTTCAGTGCCTGCAGGGAGCAGATTCAGAGTGTTCAGGGAACTACTACTGCTCATGGTGGGAAAGTGCTTGCAAATCCTGGAAGGGACCCACTGTAAATATCCCCTTTCCTCTACTGCTCCTTGTGCTGGAGCTGCTGAGGGCCCTGGAGCAGGCACAGTAACCAGGGTTGCTTTTGCAGTCTGTTCTCCTGAATGCCTTGTATTGAAATATTCCTCCTATGATCTGAGCAAGGAACTGGCCCGGGCCTGCCTGCAGCCTGTGTCAGGTGGGTGGTCACCAGAGGCTGCACTTGCCAAGGCCAGGGGGTTAAATTCCCTCCTCACATGGGCAGGGTCCTGGCTGGGCTGGGTTCCTCTGCCTCATAGAGGTTGGGGGTGGTATACAGTTAAGGTGCTGGTCTTTTGTTGGTTTTCTCCTTGCTGTAGAGCTGCCCAAGGGTCTCTTCCCTGGCTTACCTTTCAGGTTAGCTATTAGCCATTTCTTCCTGGGGGGTACCTGTTCTGCACCAACCTCCTGCTTTTAGCACCTAGAACATTCCCCTCTGCTAGCCAAGCCTCCTGCTGTCTTAATGGCCTCTGTTCACTCCCTGGCCCAAGCTGTGAACTGACACAAGAACTTTTGGGTGGTGCAGGGATTCTGGGGCCATCCAGATGCCTTGTGTGCTAACACGAGAGAGCCGAGGGCCAGTTTGGTCCCAGTTTCCTTTTATATGCACAGGGGCTCCTGTGCAAAAATTTCAGCTTTGCTTTTATTGCTGGCGTTCCCTGCCTTCTTCTTTGTTGATGTTCATGAGGTGCAGGCCTGGGTTTTCACGGTTCACACTGTTTATTTTCTTTTAATCTGCACCGATCTTGTATTTCACAGTTTGCACTTTTTGTATTTCAATAAAAATGAAAATGTAATCTCAGATTACATTGGTATGATGTATGATTTGTATGATGATGACAGGTATGTTTGTCAAGTGGCGGCAGCAGCAGCGGCACATCTACAAAAAACAAGTAAGGCTGTCTATGCTGCAAACCACAACCATGCTGCAAGGGAGGAAAGAAAGTATGAAATGCCTCCTATGCGAGTAACTCCGAAGAAATACTAGTTTGCAGGAGCCTCGGGATGGAAATAAAGTTTAAAAAATTGTATATATTTGGCTCTTTCCTGAAGAGGGCTATTCTTCCACATTACCGTCTTCCTGTCATGATGAGCAGTCTGCCTAGGACTGCCCAAGGGTGCCAAGTGGGAGCCACTTTAGGATTAGTTAGCCAAGTTTATCCTGTGGCCAGGTGATACACAGCAGAAGCCTGCACCTTCTCATTTCAATGTATGTGGATTGCTAACTTGATGAACTGCTCTGGTTAGGACCATCACACTCCCCTTGAGTTCCATATTCAGTTCACTACCTTTTCCTAAAGACTGCAATTTGCCTGTTACATCAGTAAGCTTTTTGACTAGGATGCAAGAATTAGGAGTAGAATGGAGAGCACTGGAGCTAAAACCATCAGCATTGGGCAGCAGCCTGACTGCTGGGGTGTCAGCGGTGATGTGGCAGGGTGTGTTAATGCTGATGTCAACACTTGCATGTCTAAACAGTGTGCTGCTTGTCAGTTTTTACTGTTCATAAACTGTCCAGTTAAGGGCTTCCCAGTTGCCAGTTCCCCTTCTGCATGTTGACATGGCCTCTATAATGGGGTCAGCATGGTTAACATGCCAACTATACAGCAAGATCTCAAACCTCATCTTAGTGTAGCAGATGCTTGTGGCTCTAGGCTTTGTCACATTGACCTGCCTGGCACTGTGTTGTAGCAACATCAACTCAGAGGAGCTGGAGAGCAGGCACATCTGTCCCTGACAGGGAGCTGGCACTGGCAGGACCTATGTTATGTGCAGCCATGGGCAGTACTGAACACAGTGTGAACACCATTGCAACTGGCCCCATAGCTTTATGGACACTGTTTGGAGAACATTGCTTATAAATACATACAGTAGGCTCACAAGGTGATGTAATTTAATTGTTCATGACCTTGGTGATGAATCATACTTCCGTGATTGTTCACTTTCTCGCTTATTTGCTGATGGCTTTTCCAGTCCCTTGTCTTACTGGTGACATGGTGTAAATGGATACGGAAAGCCCTGTAGGAAGCCCCAGATTCCACAGGATGGTTTCTGTCAATTTTGAAACTGTACCATGTAATTTTTAAGTTCATGAAATGACACTCATAAATACACACATATACATGCATATAATGTAGACAGATACAGGTTGATGTCCATAAGATTGCAGTGGGATGCTCAGTCTACCGTGTTACCATCTGAACATGTGGTAAAAGCAATCTTTTCTTAATTAGTTACCCTTGTATCCCAAGCCGGAATATTCCCTTCATAGAAGCTTCTAATACACAGTTATTTTTCTTTTTTTTTCCTCCCCATTCCTGCCATTTTATCTACTGTGTCTTTTTTATAATAACCAGACACCCTTTACACTGTACACAGATTTTTATAATCTTGTCTTTCCATTAAAGGGAAGGTGTTAGCACCATACCTGGCATTGTGTGTTATACAGGGTTAACTTTCATCGATACTGGAATAGAGCTGTTGAGTGGTTATTCTTTCCACATTTTATTAGTCTCTGCTATCTCTCCTGTCAACTCAAAACAGTCCTATGCTTCTTTATAGCATGTAGTAGCAACCCTGTACAATGCAAATTCTGTGGGTATATTTTTTCCCCCTTTTCCCACCCCTTTCCTGTGGAGATGAGTTAATATTTCAGTTTCCCAATTCACTGGTGAGGTCAGCAGGATCAAACACTATATGACACCTGTTCCTCCCACCTCCAGGCATCTGTTCTGTCTGTCCCTTCCTGTCCTTCCAGTAGCTTGATCTCCATAGGATCCCACTGACTGCCCCAACTATAATGCACCAGTCCATTTTGCCCTCTCTGATGGAGGCAGCAACTTGTTCTGTCCCACATTCACTGACAGGCCCCTGACCCTCCTGTTTCCTGGAGGAAAACAAGTATGAGCCCTGGGACTGTCCCAGACCTGTTGGTACACACAGGAAAATGCAGTGTTGCTTACATAAAAGTTTTATTGGAAATTCTTTGAATACTTGAAGTACACTGGAGACTTTCCAAAACAATACACTTGAGGAGCCTTCCCCTCCACCCAAAGTATCTGTAAATCAGCAGCTACATACTTAATGTCCTTAATATTGAGTTGAGCAGAGAGCTGCTAAAATAAACAGCCTTCATAACACAATCTGTGGCAGGCCACAGCAGCTAGATCTTTACTGAAGCAGAACATTTGTGCAGTGGCCAGGGAACTCGGAGCCTAGATGTAGCAATTGTGTGTTGAAATTGAGGGCTGTCCAGACTAGAGGCAGGTAAACTCAGCCCTGGAGAATCTTATTGCTATGACCATCCAGCTCAACACTAGCAGCTTAAATAGGCAATTTTCCAGCCTTTTGAAGAGAAGAAAATGTGCTACAGTGCCATTCTGCCTTATGAGCTGAGAGCTGTAGCCATGTTAGGAACTCCATCAATAAAGGAGCACAAGTACAAGCCCTGACCTCCTGGATGGGATTAACAAGAATGGCAGTGCTTCATGCCAGCTCCACAACTCGTCAGCAGAAGAGCACAGCAGGAGTGCTGGCTAGAGGAAGTTTAACCTCAATTTTTCTCTATTCATATGGTGTGAACCAGCACTTCACCTCATCTCTGCTGCTCTGCAGCCCAGAAAGTGTGACTTTTAAGTGACTAAAGGTGACAACCACCTGTCTATCAGCTACTTCCTACAAAGTGGTGGACCAACTTCCTGAAAACAGGTGAGAGGCAATTGATCCATTAATTCCTTGTGTTCCTGCACCCTTCTGCGACCCTTTCCACCTGTGAAACAAGGTGGCTCTTGGATGGGGATCAAGTATTTGTTACAGCCCATCTTACTAAAGCTGCGTTACAAACTTTCATCTTGGAAGCTTTCTTAAATGTTCGTGCATCTTACTTTGCATGGACAAAGCATTTTCCATGTGAGGCTGCTAAAAAGTTGAATTGGTTGAGTAAAATAAAAAGGTTCTGGTGGGTAACTTTCCTTCAATGAAACTCTTACCTGGAGTTTTAGAACTTAAAAGGCCTCCCACCAAACACATCTCTCAACAAAAAAATCTCATGAAGTTCAAAGCATTGCATTGCTCTGGCCTTACAGTAAGATCTGTTCTGAATTTGGCTCCATGCTCCAGCAGTGACACAGAAATAGTGTTCCAGAGTGGAGTTTGGGCTCCCCCATCAGCTGCAGGCAATCTCTTCCAACTATGAATGCAGCTAAGCTGAAGAAGCTGCCACATTGCACCACCTAGAAGGCTGGTTACACAGCCATTCTGAGGAAATGAAGATGATTTCTCAGTACTCGAGCAACACAGCTCCACTTAAGGGGAAAAAAAAATGGTTTTGGACAGTAAGGGGTCGTGCAGTTGCTCACTCTAGTTACACAGGGGAGGAGGAGAGAGAACCATAAGAAAACCCACCTTATCCAAGTTTCTGTTTAGTATCACTGTTTCTCCTCCCACCCTTACATGAGGCAGAAGACTTACAACAGCCAAATTGCCCACAGAGCAATGCCAGCCAGTCACAATGTCTATGGCCGGATTCTTACAAAAATAAAATTTCAGCTACTCAAAAAGCCCGCTGATTAAAAAGTACCATAAGCTTCCCAAAAAAGTGTGCTTCTTTAAAGAAGCTGCTTTCTGAATGGCCAAAGAACACTACAAATTCATCCATGCCTTTCAGAAAACAGCTTTTTACGAAGTCCCTGCCACTGATGTGTGCATTTCATTGTATCAGTGAGCCCTGACTGGATGCAATGGACACAGAGTCCCCAAAACAGAGTATAATATTAATCAAATCTGTTTCAGAAAATAAATATTTTGGATATTTTCCTGCAAAGAGAGACCAATCTCACTGGCCAGGATTCCATGGCACACTTGCTCTCTGCAGTGATCAGAACAGAATGACCTGCACTATAACATGAAAACAGAACATCTTTTAAATATAGGTTTCTTTAAAAGCAATAAATATTTTTTAATTCTTAAGATCATCTATTAACCATAAAGCAGGAAGGCTTGCAAGGATTAGAGGAAAAAAATCTTGGACTAAGACTCCTAGTTACATAACCCTAAAGAAATAGGATTCCTAGTATTTACAGTTATGTTTTAGAAGCAGAGGCTATGAATTCAGCATCATCACAGCTGCTAAATGCAGGCTTGCCAATAGTCAACACTGTTAAAACTCAGCATGGCCGAGTGTCAGTACACTCGGGAAGGAAGTGTGGAAAGCACTCCTGTAGTTTCACTCCTGCTTATCAGCCACCTAACAGAGTGCCTTGCACAAAATCACTGTGTAGAGACCAAATTCCTTAGAAGCAGGAAAACAAAGGTAACTTATACTATGCAGGTCCCAAAGCTGACATCTCTCTCTGGGGTCCAAGCATGCAGTCTGAAGTCAGGATGAAATGCCCAGTTCTGTGGAATGGATATCCTAGACTTCAAGCAGCCGAATTAGCTGAACTCACAGACCCTGGAAATAAACCAAAGCTTTCTATGCTCTAACAGGATCAGAGACTGTAGGAAAAAGTCTGTTAGCAAGAAGCTCTACCTAGGGAATTTACACCATAGGACTCTTGGAGGAAGCATATGGCAACTTTCCACAAAGCCCCTCCATACAGAACACAGACTGAGGAGAAAATAAGTTTCCATACATTGGAGTTTGACTTCCTGTATCCCTACCGAAGTCTTAAAACTGACTGTGAGCAGGAAAAGCAGTCCTGAACTATGTGGTGGAAAAGTTGAGGAGAATCAGCAGACGAGCCGTATCTGTCATTGAAGAGAGAAAAGAAAGCTCACTTGATGGAAGGAACTAGTCAATGTGAACAAAACGCAGAGCAGGAGCGAAAGAGATATTTGTTGATGTCATCTCCAGGATGCTTGAGGAAGAAGAATTGCTGCAGCAGAACTGGGAAACAGCTTCACTGCAAGGTTTCCACAAAAGCATCAAATTCTTTAACATTTTTCTCATGGACTGCCAGCTTCTCTGGTAACGAGTCCTGGAAGGGTAAGGAAAAGTGAGGATCAGGGCTCAATCACAGCAGACAGAAGGAAATTTTAAACACACTAGGCAGAAACCATCTGTTTCTGAGTCATGCAATCCCTAACCAATACTCTAGGCTCACCTTTCTACGTGCACAAAACCAGGAGCCCTCTGGCAGCATCCAGCAAATGACCCTGAGAAGGGCACTCTGCCCAGAGTCTGTTTGTTCTGCAGGAACAGGAGGTGCACTGGGGCCTCACCTTGTGCAATCCTCAGCAGCTGCAGCACAATAACCGACTCACATCACTGCCTTCATCAAATTACTTGCTGCTTTCAGACTCTGGTTTTCATTTTTCTCCACAATATGCCAGAGAGCCTAATAGAGCACTCACTCAGACATAACTTTTACCAGCTACACCAGAACTCCAACTTTGCTCAGGCTGCAAAGTCAGGCCTGGTTTGCCACCAAGTGAGACATCCCAGAGGCAGGATTAATTAGGGGGGTTTCAATGACAAGCAGAGCAAGCATGCTGCAGCAGCCTTCAGTTTCAAGACAAACACCAGTTTCAGAGGCTCAGGTGTGCCACAAACAAATCTGGATTTATTTGGAATATATTAGTGATAGACTCCCTTTGGGCAGGATCTTTCTTCTAAAAAGTATAGGAAAAACATGGGGCTTGTTAGAGTGGGTCCAGAGCAGGGCCACAAAAATGATCAGAGTGCTGAAGCACCTCTCCTGTTAAGACAGGCTGAGAGACTTAGGGTCATTCAGCCTGGAGATGAGAAGGCTCTGAGGAGATCTTATTGTGGTTTTTCAGTACTAAAAGGAGACAGACCTTTAAGAAAAATGGGAACAGATTTTTTAGCAGGGGTTGTTGTGATAGGACAAGGGGCAACGGTTTTAAATTGAAAGAGAGCAGATTCACACTAGATAAAAGAAATTTTTTTATAAAGCTGGTGAAAAACTGTAACAGGCTGCCCAGAGAAGTGGCGGATGCCCCATCCATGGAAATCATGAAGGCCAGGTTAGATGGGCTGAGCAATATGATTTACTTGGAAGATGTCCCTGCTCATTGCAGAGGGGTTGGACTAGATGACCTTGAAAGGTTCCTTCCAACCCAAACTATTCTACAATTCTATGAAGATAATTTTTTCAAACTTAGAATAGGGAGAGCATTTTAAAGTACATATGATTCCCACAAACAGAAATTTCGGGGTTCCGTACCAAATCCTCTGCCATGGACTGTGCTCCAATGTCAATGGAGAGGCTGCTGAGTTGAGGGGGGTTCTGAAATTCACGGTAAAATGTCCCCAGGTCCATTGGAAGAATGTCATCTTTTGAAAATGCTGGTTTCTAGAATCACAGACACTGCTGTTAATTCCCGAAGACATTTGCTTCCTTTTTGTTATAAACTCAGGTAAAGTCATTACCTGCTATCAGTATACGTCTTGGCATTACAACTGTTGCTGCAATAATGCATATTAAATAACTGAAGAACAGGCAATATCACTTGAGCAGCTGGAAGAGAACATTTATTTGGAATCTGGCTCCTCTAGTTGCTAAGAAAGAGGATGCCAAGCCCAGATTTTAGTAGAGAACTGAAATGGTATTTAATTTGTAATTTGATTCCTGGTACCAGTGTTTTTGCAGTTCTGGGACTGTCATGCCCTAGTGTGGTACTGTGAATGATGTGTCTCTTCCACTCCCACCGAAAACTACTCTGACATCATTTGCCATTGCACCAGCACGTGAAGCCCACCTAAGGTGCAGGTGTGGTGTAAGAGCTCTGATGAGGGCACTTACAAAGTCGATCATAACAAAGTCATCATGGGTGTTCCCTGTGCTGCTGCCACTGGAGCCCTCCGAGTGTAAGCTGCCTTGTAGAGGAGATTCCGTTTCTGGGGATTCAGGAGGATTGACCTGCCCAAGAAATCAAAGACAGTGAGTACTGATCTTACAGTCACGTCTGTCTGTGTACTTTGGCAGTGTGGGGGCAGTTAGGAGGCTGGACAATGAACATTAACTAGAGCAGGGGTAGCAAATACATGCTGTTATTTGTACGTTTAGAGAGCCCAAGATTCAACACAGGAGACTTCTTGAAACCAAACAAATCTGAACAACTAGTTATTTTCTCCAAAACCAAAGTGTATTCAAGGCATGGATGTTTGGATAAGGGACGCTGAGAAGGCACATATACCTCTGGAAGAGTCTTACCATGGGGTCGTTATCTTCCAGCTCAACATTCTTGGGAGCAAACATGGCAAAAGGAATGTCTAAGTTGGCCATGGTCACCTGAGGAGATTTAGCAAACAGAATTTCACTAAGATGCTCTGCTTACCTGGCACAGAAAAGGATACTGAACGTCTTTGTCAGGCCAGCTAAGAACAGCCCAGTATCCTGTCAGCAGTTACACAGGAGGCTGACACCCTCACTTAAAAGGCATGAAATCCAGAGATGATACTCAGTTGACATAATGCAGATACATACCTTGAGATAGGATTGCTACTATATGTATCTTGTATAATGTAGGCAAAGAGTTAATGAACTGCTACAAATTGAAACAATTCTCCTTCCTTCATACAAAAGGCCTAGAACTGCAGCCCTAGGAACTAAGCTGATCCCTAAGCTGCCCTTGCTGAACTAAAATGCTTGCTTCTAGTGATGAACTAGTCTACTGCACGTTCCTTCAAGAAAGGGAAGCTTGCTACCAGCTTTCCTAGTTTATGGACCTGTGGTAGTGGCAGATCATTGTGAGATCCAAGAGTATCAAGTCTTCTATTCCCAAATAGGGTGTTGGCAAAGTGGAGCAAATTCAATGGCTGTCACATCCCAAAAGGATTTTATGAAAAACAAAATTCGCCTTGGCAAAACCTTGTAGGGAAAGGCAGCAGGCAGAAATATGCACTCTCAGTCTCTGAGGTTGCTGTGGTATTGGGGTGCTTTTTGCTTCTCTGTGTATGAACAGGTGGGAAAAGAAGCGTACTGTGGTGCTCTTTGAGAAGATCTACTGCTCATTACCTGGTTAATGGGTTTGTTGACAAAAGCTCCCACCTTCCGGATAAAGATGGTCTCCAAAAGGTCATGTGGGGAGCCACACTTTCCTTCACTGCTGTTGGATACTGTTTCTGTGTCCTCACTGGGGGAGGAAAATAAATAATTAGCATCTCCTGACACAAACAGGATAGATAAATAACATTCTTTATGAGACTCCTTCATTTTTCTTGGTTTACTCCTACTATTGGAAGAAGGACAACAGAAATCTGTCCTTGTACCATACCTTCCTCCTCAGTCAGGAGCACAAAAGGAAAATGGACAGTTGTGGAATCAGATTTTTGTTTAAAGCTGGACAAAAACTATTTAGTTGTTTCAGTAAAGTTGCTGAAATAGACTTTTCTTCTGGGAAATGGACTTTTAACTTGTGTGTGTTCACAGAAATTCCTGTTCATCACTACTATTTTTTCAGTAACACAATAGTCACAGATCTCCATGGTGAGGTGAGGGCAAGAACCACAATTATACCTGTCGCTCAGTTTACAAATGCAGCAGTCTGGTACATCACAACAGCCACTCCCAGTATGATTAATTCACTCCATGGTTATTAGGTACTTCCATGACCTATTTGTTTTGGTTTTTTTCCTACCACAGGTACTCAGAACTTTAAAACAAAAAAATTGTTTTGTCCCATGGAAAGGGAATTACCTAGATAGTATACCCAGGAAAGTGCTGGTGCAACTGAGTTTTCATTTCCCCACTGCAAAATCTCTGTGACTCACAACTATGTGATCCCAAGAGAGATTTCTCAAGGGAAAAAAAAATATGGTGATCAAAAAACCAGAAGGATTTGATTAGCTGTGAGGGAGTTGATTTAGGACAGTTTGAGGTTTCATTGTTTCCTTTTAAATAACTTTGTGCCTAAAGTTTCTTACTAAAATGGTGAACAGATTTATGGTTAACTACAACTGGCTTTGGTAACAACACACTAAAATCTCTAGAGAATTTGAGATTTATTTGTGAATTTACTGCATCTTGTTTTACAATCAGCAAAACCAGCAGAAAGATTGAAAAAATTATAAAATTGATAATAAAGTTGACATAGAAGAAGATACAATACATAGAAGAAGGATATTACATGGACTAGGATGCTTAAAACGATGGGAAAGATCATTGTTTGGAGAAAGGCTGAAAAAGCCCCATCAGGGAAAGCTGTAAGGTGATTTGAGGGATGGAAAGACAACAGTTACGCTACAAACAACAGATAAAAAGGGGGAAACAAAAAGTTTTATCTTAATAAGCTTATAAATGGGTTAGCAGAAGTGGTGGATCATCTAAAACCAATCTACCTGCTAGAAGGAGTAGCTGCTGAGTAATGGACTCCATCCAGTGGGGTGCACATCCTCTCTTGATCAGCTTGAGTGGCATGTGCTGGCTGGCTAGGAACTGGGGGAACTCCCCCTTCTTTGCCTGGACCAATCAACTGAGATAGGAATAGTCAAGTTAAGAGATCTCAAAATCAAACCAACACCACAGTGCAATACAAAGTAGATTCCATCACTACTGGGCATAAATTGTGGGGGTTTTAGCATATGACTGGGCTCTAGTCCCTGTAACCCTCAGAGACATGTCTTGTAGGAGTGGGTTATCACAATGCAAACTCATTTTTACTGCTTTTCTACACTACTCCTCTCCACTTCAGGCCTATTTTACACTGCAGAGTTCCCTGGCTGTAAGTACTCTGCTTCATGAGGAGGAATGGAGGAAAAAAACCATATATCCTCTTGCTACAAGCCCAAGGCTCCCTACAGCTTCAAGAGAAGGGGAAGTGGAGAGGGAGGTGCTGATCTCTTCTCCCTGGGATCCAGTGATAGAATGCATGGGAGTGGTTTGAAGCTGCACCAGGGGAAGCTAAGACTGAGCATTAAAAAGCATCTTTTTGCAGAGAGGGTGGTCAAAAACTAGAACAGTATTGTCTTCCTAGAGAGGTGGTCAATGCCCCAAGCTGTCAGTTTTTAAGAGACATTTGGACAATTGCCTTAATACCAGGCTTTAACTTGGCCAGACAGTTGGATTAGATGCTCACTAGAGGACCATTCCAACTGAAATTATTTTATTTTACTAACATTTTGTGTCAGCAAAACTGGTGCAGCACCAATATCACAAGCAGAAAAAGACTTCTGTCAATGTGGCTTATTTGTCTGATGAACCAATATAACTACATCAATATGAACTGAACTATGTCTAACCTACACAACTATGCTTGCACAGCTGCAGGGGCAGCAGCTCTGTAAGACAGGCAATATTTGGAGTCAGTGACAAACTGGTGCAGGCAAACAGGTCTGCTGCCTGCTCTCTTGGCGTAGTTTTTCCACATGACTCCATACCCCAGTAAAGTCAGGGATGCTGAGAAGCCAATTCCCAACTCCTGCGGAAGTTGTGCTTTCTCTGTATTTACTTTACATTTTTTCCATTCCCGACAGACAGGACACCAATGCATGCACTAGTTTCAATGCCTCTCTTGGGTGTACAAGTGACACTAATGGCTGCAGTACCAGCCATGCCGGTTTTACTCTCTACAAGTACCTGGTGAGGGTGTGCAGCATTCAAGCCACCAGCAAAGAGTACAGGATACCCCATGTCAGCTGATCCAACTCCCAGGGCAGCAGGCTGATAGGAAAGACGAGAGCTGGAAAGCTAAGAAAGAAGAGAAAAAAACAAGGGCAAAGGGAGAGGAGAGAGGAAAGGGAAGGGGAATGCCCCACAGCCTGAATAATCACCATTCACTGAAGAAGGAACAGGAAAAGTCGGAGGCACAGCATTTCAGGCTGGCAGAAGGATGCTACGTTTTCACTGGAATCAATAATGTAGGTTATTGTTCTAAAAAATTCTTACTGCTATGAGGACTACTTGACAATAGTCCAGGGCACTAAGTCTGAGCCTTGAGAGGAAAACAAGATTGGCTTCCTACACATGTAGGAGTAGGCTGTGCAAGGTATGACTGACATCCTGTCTCAGGGAAGCTCTGCTCTACAGGCCTCTTTCAAATACTGGTGTAGTAGGTTGACACTGGCCAGATGCATGACTGCCATTGCGAACTTACTAAAGAGCTAATATTTAATCTTTTTTCATCCCAAAAACTTCATTATCAAATGTCTGAACCTACTCCCATTGCAAATTAAAACAGCTGATCTTCCAGACCTGTTCAAATAGCTTCAGTGGAAGAATACATGGTACCATAAATGTGCCAGGTAAAGAGAACTGGGAAGCTAACCCATGTGAGATTGCTTTAGGAATTAAGTGTTGTAAGCAGTGAAACCCAGCAGAAATCCCTTATACATCCCAGGCAGAAATCTACCCAGTCAGTTTAAATAAAACTTTCCTGTTCTGACTTGCCTAACTTCAAGAGGAACATTTCTTCAAGAGCTAAGTGTGAGCTCCAGCAGCACCAAAGCTGATGTCCTTTACAGGGATCAAAATGAGGATACAGGGATCAAAATGAGGAACAGCACTTTCATTCAAATGAGGCTAGTTAAGCTGAGTAGAGGTCTGATGACTGTACAGGCTCTAGGGACATTGGCTGTTAACAGAAAACACTGAGAATTGTGCCTTTCTACTTGTGCCTTTCACTAACAATCCTTGACAGCTGTTGTGTTTTTAGGGGTGCTTGTCCTGTCTTTGGGAGACCTTCCTCTGCAAAGGCATTTAAGAAGCCAGTCTCAGTAAAGTGCTCATTGTGGGTCCACCAGTCTTTCCCATGCACAACAAACATCTGTATTTTCTTGTATTTGTTTTGTCATGCCAGAACTTGTATTCTGGCCATGTAGAGCATATTCTATTGACAACTCACTTGATGTGAAAAGGCCAGTCCCATCACTGGGACCTTCAAGGTGTCCGTCACCACAGGAGGAGGGGTCTGAAAATGTGCCTTTGTGACAGTAAAAACACACTGTTCACAGACACAGACAAACAGAGGAAACAAGGAAAAGAGAGAGTGGGGGGGAGAGAGAGAGAGACAGAGAGAGAGAGAGAAGAGAGAAGGACTTCAGAGAGGAATTATGAAGAGTTGGATGAACTGAATGCTAGTGAAGAGGTTTTGGCTGCAGCAGCCACACCTACACAGAGAGCAGAAGTCTCAATATTGCCAGAAGGACATTCATTTTGTAAAGAACTGACTGTTTTTCAATCAGAGTGAACAACTGAACACAGGTAATATTTTAGATTCCAGTGTACCATGACAGAAAGTAACTGCCAGAGACTCTGTTCCACAGTTAATTATAATTGGTACCAGCCAATTAGCAAAGAGAAGGCTGAGCAGTTGCCAGAAAAAGTAAAATACTTTTTTTTTTTAATTTAAAAATTACTTGTATTTCAGCACTCTCCATCCATCTGTACTCCCTATCCTCCAGCTTTCTGAGGAATCCTATCTTGGCAGTTCTGTGCTGCACCCTTAGAATAAAGGGGACCTGGACTACAGTGCAATTCAAACACACTGATGTGAAGCAGGAACTCCATCAACAGGAGCAAAACACAGAAGTAAAGTCTCTCAGAGGGCGCTAATGCAAAAAAGGGCAATCCAAACCTGGTTCAGTCCCATACCTCCTCCCAGTAATTTTCCTACCAATGGTTTTCACTTTGAGGAAAGCTTCAGCTTCATTTCTGGTATTACTCATGACCAGACTCTCCTGAATTTTGGGCTACTTCATAACACACATACACAGACATGCAAGTTCACAGAGAAGGGAACAACTATTTCCTTGTATCACACAGGTTAAGCCTTTACTGAGAAGGCAGGTAGAGATTCACACAATTTGCTCACAAAATCACAGTTCCTAGTTTTTTCCTAGTCTTTAACCTGGACAGAACATATAGAAAGCTGGAGAAAAAGGTTAACTTCTTCTTTCCCTTTTAATTTGAAGTCCACTCTGCCAAGACAGCCTTACAATTCTAACTGTGGTAACAAAGACTGGCAGTTGCTTTACAAATAAGAGTACAGCATATGGCAACTATGAGCCACAGAAAAAGCAAGAAAATAGGCTCATACTTAATGTAAATCCTCAAGGTTCAAGTGGTTTCATAAAGCTTTTCCCCCTCAATGACAGTAAAGCTTCATGACCCCTGGGGAAATGTCAACTTCAATGTAGTTACATACACTACTACTGCTAAGTAACACTGGCACAGGCAAGCCAGTGGAAATTTCCTTATGAAATCTTTTGTATTCACCCCACTTTAGGAAAACACAGGACACAATTCAGCCACAAACTCATTTCCTGAACTGTATATTGAAGAATAAGAAAAGCTTTATTCAATGAGACTTACTGTGAGTGCTGGCTAATTAGTTCAACATTGCCTAATGCCTGGTCACCTGAAATCACTTAGGCACAAAAATGCTTCCTAAAGAGAAGCTCATTTCTAGCTCATTCATACAGCAGAATACATTCTGCTAAACCAGGCATATTAATTCCTCTGAACCAGCAGAAAGGCCCGTAGCAAATTCTTTCAGTCTGTAACAGCATTCCACCTATACTTCATTCTATGTTTTCACATTGACAGTGAAAGAGATTTAGAGTCTTTAGATAGTCTTTAAAGGCCAGTAGAGTCATCTGCTTTGCTGGACAACAAGGCCAGGCAATCCTGAATATTTAAAGTGACAGATCAACTGCAACTCTGGCCAAGTCTTCAAAATACAGAACCGTGGAGTCAGATACATAAGACAGTAAAAGAACTTCAGAGTTTCTGGGTATTTATATTCAAAAGGAAACCATTGTCTATTTATTTTAAAATTTAAACTTAAATGAAATTTACATGGGCAATTTTTTTGCCAATACTTACTCCTGCTGCCCCAACTAATTTTAGATGGTCCAACAAATACAGCTTTTTTTTCTTTTTTATGTCTTTCTCCAGCATTTCCCTGGTGTTTCAGTGGGGTTTTTTTCAATGTCAGTCTGTTACTTAGGCTGCCTGACATCAATGTCTTGGTTTCTTCCTCTTGCAGCATTGGTATGTAAATATGTAAGTACACTGCTATCCTCTTCAAGCACACCTCAACCCAGCTACAGGAGTAGGCTCTTTTAATCCTTCTCAGTAATTCAGTCTTTCTAGGCCCCTGGAATTTTGTTGAAATTAGTATCTAATTTCAGTAGATTTTACTCAAGAGTGTAATGACATAAATAACCCACACATTAAATTTTAAGTAGCAGCAGGAGGCTTTCTGTTTGCACAGTAGCTGATGTAGGAATAGAAAACCATTCTTACAGTAATTGTTCTATCTAGAAGTAAAAAGAGCCTGGTTTCTCTTACCTGAGATGGAGGAGAGGTGGAAAAAGATGTGGTACACACTTCTTGGGAATCCTCTACAGAGGGGTACACTGCACCATTGTCCTCACCAGCTCTAAAGCAGCAAGAAAAGACGAGTTTTCCAACCAAAAATATTCCGTAAAACAAATAGTAAAACACAATGGGACAAACACTTCAGGGAGGTTGAGAGTATTTGGGTGTAGTTGAAAGGAGAATTATGAACGGCTCTCATCTACTTGCCCAGAACTGAGGAAAGCAAAGTGGGAAAATGTCAGTTTTCCTCTGGTGTTTGTCTTCTACACCACATAAAATAACAGAGGTGCTTCTAACTAACACTTTTGTTATACCAGCTAGTGCAACTGGCTTTGGTGTTTACACAACCATTGTCAATCACCACCACTGGTCCCAGTTTGAATGCCCTCACATTCATTTCAGAGAAGACAAACCTCTCATCTCCAAAGAGAAATTAAACTGATCTTTCCCCAGTGGAAATATGCAGGGATGCATGCATCTAGACATGTAGTTCTGCATCAGGATTAACCATTACACTTGCAAATTCCTGAAGGCAGCCAAGATTAAACATCCTTTGTGTTCAAGTGCTTCTGTGAAGAATTTGGGAAAATACTGGGGGCTTGCTGCACTCAGTTATCTCAATGTGAGAAGAAAAATGTCACCCTTCATCACATCTTAAACTATGCCAATATGACTGATACTACTTCTCCAGTGTCCCTTCCCATGCTGTCAACAAATAGTGGAAAAGGCTCTGTATTTGGGCATAATGGATGCCTTTACCATGGCCCATGACTTCAACTCAGTATTTCCTCACCTGTAATTGCAGGGATGCATGGGTGAAGAGCTGGGATAGGGACGGTCCACAAAGTGATCAATTATAATCCCCATGATAGGAGGGGTCCTCTCAAACTGCCTGCAAGGCAACAAGCAATGGTGTTATTGGCTTATTCTCTCTACTCTTCCCAATTCATGGTGCCCTCACAGAAAGCCTTTGTGCCTATTAATGGGACCAGAACATCTTTACAATTTAGTCCTGTGACTCCAGACATGCATCAAAAATTTGGAGTTCTAGAGCCTGGCTCAGGGCTACCCAAATACTCCCCTTGCTGCAAGGCTTAAGCGTGAGAGAGAGTGTTCATCATCAAAGAGAACCTCAGCAGGAAAGGATAAGCAGAAGGGAAAGATTTGGGGGCTCAGAATATGAGGGGGTTAACAGTAAATTATTGTAAAACAGTTTTTGGCATCATCACATTTTCTCACCTGGTTGACATGAAAGCAAGGTTGATTCTGTAGGCACAAGACAAAGTGATGGTGCCCACTGGGGTACCCACTGTCCCAACACGGACTGTCTGAAAACCTGTAAAGTTAAGGAATAATTATCAGTTTCACTGATTATTTATATGCTGTACTTTTTTTATTCTGAGGTTACACTATCTTATTTCAGTAGTGTTTCCATTATCTCTTGCAATCTGAACTCCAAAAAAACACATATAACCCATAATAAAACAGCAGCACTAGGTTGCCTTGCTGGTAGGCTTCACCTGCAAGGCTTCTGATGTTGCTTCCTGGCTCCTTGGTCTAAAATATTGTTCTGAATAGAACACTACTTGTTCCTCAGTAGATCATGATCTCCTTTACCAGTCCTACACCTTATCAACATCATTTCATATTCTTATTTCAGTTCTGTATCACTAGAGTCAAAATGGCAATCACCCAAGACTTTGTCCAAGTACCACCATTATACTTAATCACCTTGTGGCACAAGGCTGCACTGGCAGATGCAGACAAAAAGCATATGTAAGCCTCAGACTAATTTTCCTTACGGTACTTGGGAATAGCAACCAAAAGGTAGTCAAAATGAAACATAGTTCTGCTCTTGTTTATGTGTTGTCTAACCATACCTTCTCCCAAGCCACTCAACTGGACTTCACCAAAATATATCCTGAAGGAAAAGGGAAAAGAAAAGTGGTTAGATCCAGTTGGGACATAATGCTATACATATATATCTCCTTATTCCTTATTTAATTTTGGTATTTGAAAGCCTGGAACTCTTTTCCTCTTCAGGAAAAAAGAGCCCAAAATAAATGGCTGGAATGCCTATCTCAAAAAACCTTACAGCTGCTTCAGAAGAAGAACAGGTCATGTAAAAAGAAGGAGAAAGAGAAAACAGTAGTCCAATCAGAAATTTCTCTTTAAGTTTTTTAAGCCTCTGTGGTTAAGTCTACAGTTCAGAGCAAAAATGTGAAGTGATACAAACTTCACAGAGAGGTCTAAAAGCTGATGCTCATCACATAACTTAAAAGATTAACTGTGCTGTAAAGAGACCTGCTCTTAAGTACATGCCTAGTCAGCAATGGAGGCAAAAATGAGAAAATGGCTGGAATTTCTTTTTGAGTTCTCAACTGTGCAAATGATAACAAACCTGAGATTGACAATCATATAATTTAGCTATGCAAACATGTCAAAGCCTTTTCTCAAAGCCAAAAACAGGGTCTGGAAGATAACTATGGTCCACAAGCCAGTCAGATTCACAGGCTAAACAGAGTTGAACCCCAGTATTTGAATGAGTAAACTTCAAGAACTACAGGAAGTGAAGTTGAGGATACATCTTTAAAATGGAGTAATAGGAGAGAGTCTGAATCCATGCTGCAAAAGTACACATTGCAGCTATGTGCAATGTTTAGAGGCATTTATGAAACACAGGCCAGACAACAGACAATTGGATGCTAGTATGCAATTTAACCAGGGATTGCATGTGGAATTTTTTTTTTTACTCTTTCTGACATGGTAGGCAAACACTTCACAGCCTGTGCTTAGCTTTTCTTTCCATGGCTCAAGTGAAGGCTATAAGGTGATACACAGACCAAAGTTTTCTTCTGTCACTGATCAGTAGTAGTTCTATGCAAACAATTTGATTTTATTATTACTTATCCATTTTTAACTACATTTGCAGCTACACTGCAAGTCTAGAGTCTCTGCTGTTTACATTTCAAATGGGAAAATTCTGCTTTACCTGTACAATATTACATATTCATGGCCTTGTTTCCTTGAGAGTCTGTAGGCTGGAGTTACTCTGGTTATAGCAAGCAAAGACTTCAGCAGTAGAGACAGCCTGTTGTATACAGTGTATGAAACTTTGATTTCTTTGTCACACCTAAAGAACACAAAGGAAAAAAAAATTAGTCTTTTGCCCACAGCTAAGTTTCCTGGGTTTGGGGCTCTTGTTTATTTTGGTTTGCACTTGCTTTTGTTTATTTTATTTTAAGTAAAAATTAGTCAGGGGCAGTTGTTTAATTTTATTGCCAAAATGATAAACCAGTGTGGTTACCTGTACTTACCAACCAGCTAAGAGTCCCACTTCAACCTAGTCACCTGCTGTAGAATAAATTGCTGAAAAATGCCATGCAGCCTTCTACTAAACAGAGACATCTTTTCAATATTAAAAACATTTGTTATTACTGAGACTGTGAATTCTTGTATCTAAGGAAACCTACTAGTTGTGATGAAAGGACGAAGAAGGAATTAAATTACTAGTTTACTTTCTTGACACTGGTGTTAAAACAGTTTGACTGCTGCTCTAGACAAAGGGGGGAGTTCCCTCTGAAGTGCCTCTGGCCACACAGCCAGTATGTGCTCATTGAGCACCATGGATTAACCACATGTACATCTCATCAGCTAAAAACTACAAACACGAAGAATGCATGAAGAATGCACTTACTTTTCATTCATTTCTAGACACCAAATTTCCAGCTCCATGGAGTCCCCCTGGATCAGAGAAAAGGTGGCAAACAAAGTCTCATTTCAGAACACAGACCTTTTCAAATCTCATTAGTTATCAGCAATGGCTACACCTCTCAGTGGTTTGTCTCCTGGCTCCCACTTTCTTGTGATGCAATGATAGAAAAAGGTGCACTGGAAGTGTACCTGCACAATTATGTCACCTGAGGGAAGACCTTCCTCAGAATGCCTAAGTTCTTCATGGTCTAAGAAATTAGTTTCTTAAAATTTAAGAATTCATGAATTTAATTTTCTTAAAATTAGTTTCTTTAAAAATTTAGATTTTGCTCTCTGTCATTTGTGTGTTTGGCCTCAGACTTTTGCAGTGAATTGCTTCTGTTAAACAATACATTTCTTTTCCTCAGCTTATCACCTAACGTAATAACAGTTAGATATTCTCACATTGTCTTGGAATGAAGGGCAGGAGTTCTGGTAGTTGACTTAAGATTCAGGCTAAAAAGCCCACAAACAAAAAAAAAGAGGGTATCTGTCTTGACTCAGTTCTCACCTCTGACGTTTTGAGAGAAATCTCCACGCACATAGACCGTCCAACAGCGGGCAGCTGTCCTGCCAGGGCTTTCTTTGCTTCATGAGTAACCTCTGGTATATCTTTGATTGCCAAATTGAACTGCAGAATCAAAGAGATGGTTCCATTTTTTTTATTTCTTTGAAAAACTGCTTGATGGTACATTTCAGACAGGCTCACAGACCCATATATAACATAGCAGGTCAGTGTCCACTGAAATATTTATGAAACAGAAAATTTCCAGCTGGGTTCAAGCTTTTCATATTTACAAAGATTCCCTTGACTGCTAATTCAAATGTTTTTCTTGATCCTGCTCTAAAAAATATGCTGCTTTTCCCTCAGTTCAGTCATGTCTTCACCCACAGAGTATCTTGAGTCTTTTCAATTTTAATAAACCCCATTACTAAAAAGTCCTCATTTGCAGAGTAGCAAACTTCTGACAGGTAAGAACTCATCACCCCATCCCCAAGCCAATCTTGGAGATGTGCCTTAGCTGGCAGGAGTTAATCTCTCAATGAGAGATCATTTCTCTTACCCCTCATCAGCATGTAAGAGTCCAGAGTGATTTGCTGCACGTGAGCAACAACCACCAACCCTGCCCCCAATATCACCAATGAACATAACTAAATATAGTACCTGTTCTATGCATAATTATTATTGTCTGCACAAGACTGCAATAATCACGTGGTGTTCTCAGCACAGACACAGAGTTGTGGAGTTGCTTTAAAAAATATGACCTTACCCAGTCAGAACCTGTTGGGGAGGATGATGAGCGGGTACAGATTTTCTCTCCAAGTCGGGCCTGGACAATTACTTGTACTGTCTGGAACAGAAAGAAAAGTTTTGGGCTCAGCACAGCCCTCAGTTCAGAGCCTGAGCTACACAAGCTCCAAGTGAAAGAAATGAAAGGGCTGACCAGGACGTAGAGAAGTAGAGTTTGCTACCCTGATCTTCAGTTCTAATCAATTTCAATTATTACATTTAACAGGCAAGTGTATTTCAGAAAGAAAATTATTTTAGGATGACCTTTCTCTGTAACAACATTAAGAGACTAAGTCAATTTTGCAATCAGAATTCACAGTTTTCAGCAGAAAATTAGAAGAATTTACAAAAATATCGCAAACCTGGACAACTAAACTAAAGCCAAATGAATCTGTACATTTATACCAAAGCCATTGTCAGATTATCTACTTGCACCTATGCCTGAAGTGAGGCCAAATTTTATAATTACACACCAACAATATTCAAAAGATTATTCTGGTGGTGTTGTTTTTGAATGCAATATAAAAATTTAGATAGGCTGAAAGAGTGGAGTCCAGCAGAATAAACTACCCAACAGCTGGGTGGTTAGACATGCTGCTAGAAACCCAAAGCTGACAGAGGTGTAAAGTGCCTACAACTGATTCTAAAGCAGCATGCTTCTGGAGGATGGAAGATGATTTGAGGGTAGAAAAAAAGGGGAAAAGATGCTTTTCTAGTTGCTCTCAGGAATCTCCTAAATTGGACATCAGCTTTTCTTCCTTTGTTCTTCAGCAAAACGAAACAAAACAAAAAAACAACAAACCCAAACCTCAATCTTGTTACTCTAACCACAAGTACATTGTTTGTTTTTTGGATTTTTTAAACAAGGAAGAAGAGGCATTTGTCCAAAGGAAAACATATTACCTTTAAAGCAAAAAATTTGATGAACTTGTCCAGGTCCTTCCTGTCCTGAGAACTGAGATCAGTGTCCATTGCATATGGCAATCTGAAATATAGCAGAGGTCTAGGAATTAAGTCTTCCTCCAACTTTCTGTTTAGATTTCAAAATATTTTTGCCATTAGAGGCCACCTCAAAAGAAATGATAAGCACCAAAGCAAAAGAAATGATAAGCACCAAACCTGTCAAATCCAAACACGCTAAAAACTTTGGGATGTGAGTGGGAGGTATAAATGTGCATTGATAGTTTATCTGGTCAGTGCAAAGATCAAAAAAAAATTTAAAAACAAAGAAGGCTCACAAATAAAACTCAGTACCAGTTCTGCAATTTCGCTAGCTTAATTAAAAAAGCAAAACAAAACAAAAAAAAAACTTGGAACACCCCAACACCACTGACTGGATTCTATGCCAAGCTAACCATCAGACATGGAGGTCTCTACTTCAAAAATAATCTATCTTCAGCTATCAGAACTGGTTAAAACCAAGCCAAATTGTTCTCTTGGGCCTGAATTTCTTAGAACAGTATTTCAGCAGAAATGTGTAAAATAAACCATTGCTGGATCAGGCTACACTGCTTCTTTACTTTCAACAAATAGTACTTTCAGTAAAACTATACAGCTACAAAATTTACCTACAACCAACTGGAAAAACACATCTTTGTCAAGAAATAGACCAAAATCCTCTGTTCACTTCTCTTGAAATCTCTGATAATAAATACCTAGCTTTCACATTGACACTGCCTTGTTTTTCAAAATACAATTGTTTCTAGGAACACAATGAACTTGCACGGCATCTGAAGCAGGGCAGGGCAAGGCAATAATCCTATTTCTGCCACCATCATGTCACATGGCCTGGGATAAATCCCAATTCATCTGTCTCTCAGTTTCTTCACACGTAAGTTAATAATCATATAGAGACCACTGGGGGAATAATGCCTTAATTAGCAATATTCATTATAGTTTTTGCTTATAAGCTTCAAAGTATTAATTCACCCTGAACCCCTGTTGCAGTTTTGAGACAGCTAATCAGCCTGAAGCAGCTTGTCAAACATCCCATATTTATGGAACATGCTGCTCCTCACAGGAACACTGAGGTCAGGGAGGACGAGTAGCTGCTGTGCACAACATTACTCAGTGTTCAATCATTAAGCAAAGACTGAACTTACAGCAGAGTATGTTATTTATGCAAATTAAAGCTTGCAGGGCAAAAGGGCCAATAGCCCTTCTAATTCACACAGAAAATACAGAATCTTTAATGACCACGCACATGCAGTACTTCTATTTAAAATATCACACTTAATGACAGTAGAGGCATAATGCTTTAGGAGCATCAGTCAAAAAGGGCTGCAAAATAAGACTGTTGCAATTTACAGAGCATTTTATAGAGAACAGTGCTGCTTTCTGAATGACTCTATAAAAAGAAAGCTGGATATATAATATACAATAATTGAAAGTTCCTAGGCTACATTCATACCATATCTCCTTAAGCTGTACTGTTCTCATTACAAATTATAATTTAAATTGAGAACAACACAAGCGATTCAACGTCAAATGCATTATCAAATTATCTTTTGGCTATTTTAACCTCCTTATTAAAACTGTTATGCCTTCTTTCCCTGCATTTACCTCCACTAGAAGATTACAGACCCTTTCCACTGTGGGGGGTGCAAAAGGAAGTCAGCATTTAAATTTTTAGTCAGTATTTGATTACTGCTTGATGCAGTAATCAAAATTTTTAAAAAATAACCCTTTAGTACTGGCATGTACCACTACAGAAGTACCATAACCCCAAACAAACAAAACCCCAGGCAAGAACAACCTGTTATTATTCTTTTGACCTAATTAAATACAGCACTGTAAGAGTTCAAGACATCTGAGATCTTTGACAAACCTGACTGATATATGGCAGTAAAATACTGCATTAAAAAAAAACTTTTTTCTTAGCAAAGAGAATGTTGACATTTAAATACTAAAAAAAAAAAAAAAATTATACTGGCTTTTAATGTGAAAAGTGACATGTGACCCCTGCAGAAAGATGCAAGGAAGTATATATCCTTATATTGTGGGAGAGCTGTCAAATAAAGCACCCACAAATGTGTGCCTTTTGAGGCTGGAAAAAAGTTCTGATATCAACTATTTCAAGATGCCTGGGAACTAATGGAAGCTACTCTCAAGTTAGCTGCCACAGCTGACCTGAACAGGAAGGAAATTCTTTAAACTTAGTTCCACCAAACTCAATCAGCTTCTCAGGTCCTGTGGGTTGCAATGCCAGCACGGCACCTTGTTAAGTGCTACTGCACAGACCTATGCTTAACTCAAGGAAAACACTGGCTCATTTTACACTGAGTAACAATTAGAAGGAAATAACCTTTGGTCTAGACTAGAAAAATACAGATGACTGATTTCCACTCAACCAGGTAATCCCTTAAGTAAACTGATATATTCGCCAGTACATGATGCAAAATCATTTTGTCCGTATGGCTTTTTGCTTTGTCTCCCCCTTCCTGCAACACCCATTTTTATACTATTGCTTTTATTTATATGCCTTTGTCTTCACTTTACTGTGAACAGAGACATCAGAAACAAGATGTTCAAAGGAGAACTGCTGCATGTGGCTCTCTTGACTAAATCCTTATTCCTTCTCCCAAGGCTGAGGCAGATTTTATCCAACAGTTTAACTTCTAAGCGTGTGCCTTCTACGCTCTACTGCTATTTATACCCTCCTTCTCTGAGAAGGACACATCAGCATAAGGTGATGGCGCTGTTTGCATGACGCAAGGAACTGCAAGAGCCCTCCCCTTAAAGCCTCGGCAGAGCCCAGAGGAACTACAGCGACCGGCACGCCGTGCTCCGAGCCGGGCTCCGCGCTGCCAGCCCGAGCGGGCACCTGTAACCCGGCACACAACAGGTGCACGGCAACTCCCGGGATCACCGGCAGCACCTACGTGTTCCATACACGGGAATCGAGCGAGTACATCTCTCCGACATCCCCACAAACAGGAAAGGGGCAGAAGCACCTGACACATACCAGGCATTATTACTGCTGCTGGGGAAAGCATATATAGGCTGCTTCCATCATCTCCTGTATTTCTCTCTGAGCCACGGCTGCTACAACTTACAGTTATCTTGCTTTCTCTTCAACCAGACATTCATCGATGCAAAATAATTATTCTTAGTTCTTATAGTTCTTATCCCAGAGTGAAATTGAAAAGAGGGAAAAAACCAGAGTGGGTGTAGCTGTAAGGAAAGGGCTGTGAATAGTTCTCATCTCAAATGTTTGTTCCAAGTTACCTGGCTGTATCCCTTGCCCATACCACTCTGCCACAACTTCTTTTTTAATACAGGACCCAAATCCAATCTCCAAGGGTGTCATATGAGAAGCTCAGAAAAGCCTCGTTGAATCATGCAGCAAACAGGAAGCACATGGAGGTTTTTGAAGCTTTTAAGAGTGCCTAGAACACATTCTCCCTTCAATGAAGAAGAAGCTTCATTGCAAGCAGGTATTTTGAGCACACTAATAAGCAACTATAAGATTGTCATAAACACAATGCTCTGTTTCAAGACTGGGCCTACAAGTCAAACAACAGTATCCTACAATTACTTAAAATTAATCTCCATTTTACCTTCTTAGTAGATTAGTCAGAAACCTAGAGAGAAGTAGCAAACAGTTCTAAGGTGTGACACTCTCATTCTTTAAAGTTTATGGATTTTTTTTTTCAAGAGAAGATTAAATTCTAACAGTAAAACTGTTTCACATAATATAAACATTCTGATGTAATAATCAAAGGCTCTGTAGTTCACTATATGCTCAGGCTTCAACTGATAAAGAGGTAATTTTTCCTCCTGATCAGGCAACAGATTCACTTTATAACCAGCTCCACTGCCAGCTCCACTGACTTAGAAACAAAATTAATTCCTGTTGACCAGCAGTTACATTCTGTACTTCCCTAAGGTCTAAAAATGGTATCAGTTCAAAGGTCCATCCTCTCAATTTGTTTGTCAAGCCAAAGTATACAGACTAAACCAGAATCTGCTTCTACATACCCTATACTATAACCACCAACATAATTACCACCTCTCAACTATTGTATGAACACATGTGCAGAAATGTTAAGATTATACAATACCATTTAAGCAAAATAAAGTGATCCTGTATGATCCTTCTGGACATCTACAGACAGCCTGGTTCATCTGAAAGACTTATTTCTTGTCACAAGAAGGAAAGGTCCTCCAGGTCAGGCCACTCCTGCAATAATTTGGAGATGCTCTAAACTTTATTTGGACAGCCAACTAATTTTCAGCTACAACAGTAATTTGCCATGTTTTTCCCTCTTGGTATGTGCCTAGTCACACTGCTTTTGGGATTTGTAAGTAGGCAGTTTGTAGGCTTAGTCCAAACAGTCCCTTTTCTACATGTTCACTGACATGGAAGGTGTCTCTGCTCCCACTGAATCCACGGCAATGACTCTGACTGTGCCCTAAGAGCCACACCTCCAACAGTAAAGACAGATATGACCACCTGTAAATCTCTGCTCTTTCCCAGCATAGTGCAAGCTCGCATGTTACAGGAAGTCTATACAATGGAGCGTGGGGTCTCACAATGTACTATTTCCAAACAGGCTCCGAAGTATTTTGATTTTAAATGACCACTTGCTGAGATTACAACGGGCCACATCTTTCCCAGGCCCCACTGACAGCCACCAAGTCGTTAGGAAAACGAATGGCAGCCGACACGCGGAACCGACCCCTGCGAGCAGCGAAGCAAAGAAAAACAGAGACACCAAGCCGTAGCCAAAGGCATAGACCCACGTCGCGGCCCCCTCCCCTCGAAGGCCTCCCGCAGGCTCGGGGAGCTCCAGCCCTGCCCTGCGGGGCCCGCGGTACCTGCGCGGGGCCGGCAGTGCTGGCGGCGCGGCGGCTCATCCCGCGCGGGGCCCGCTCCGCCGCCGCGCCCCGGCGCCTCCTCCGCGCCCCGACCGGGCACGGGGAGAGCCCCGCGGCCCCGGGACCGCGGTCGCCGCCTCCAAGCCTCGAAGCCGCCCCGGGGCTCCGGCCGGCGCCCCTCCTCCTCCTCGTTCCCGGTCCGGGGGTCTCGTCGCGAGTGTCAGTGCCGGCGGGGGCGCGCGGCCGGCGGCGGGGGCCGGGCCGGGGCTGCCACTGCCCTCAAAGCCACGGGCTGCGCCGCGCCGCCGCCATCGCCGTCGCCATCGCCGCTGTTTGTTTTCATCCGCTGCGGGCGGGGGGGGGGGGGGG